TGGACTTTTTGCCGGGCGGCCACCAGACCTTTTTCAAAAACCTGGAGAGCATCCAAGACTTCGTACGCCAGAAGATTCAAGAGCACGAGAGCAGCCTGGATATCAATGCCCCCCGGGACTTCATAGACACCTTCCTCGTCAAAATGGAGCAGGTAAACGTGGAGGAGCTCCGGTCAGGAAAGGCACCTGACTCCAGGGTGAGTTGGGGGTGGGGGGTGGCAGATTGGCGTGCCGGAAGCAGACCCGGGTCTTAAAATCAGGTGGATCGTGTAATCCATGGCCTTCACACATGCAGTGGTCACTTCCAGACTGGATTATCGTGCAATTCTCTCTACGTGGGGCTGCCCTGGGCTCTGCTCCGGAAACTGCAGCTGGTGCGGAATGCAGCAGCGCAGGAGTTGGCTTTGTTGTCTGTGCAGACGCATATCCACCCGGTGCTGCACAAACTGCACCGGCTGCCTGTTGAGTACCAGATCTGCTTCAAGGTGCTGGTGCTTACCTTCAAAGCCCTTGTGGCTGTGGCACCAGAGGCCTACTAGGCCCAGGGAGCCTGGCTAGCAGTAGGTGAGGCTGGGCCTACAACTCCCAGAAGCCCCTGAGAGGTTCTGGAGACAAAAGTGACCAATAGGGAAGAAGAGGGCTGGGGAACAAAAGGGCTGGTGCCAGAGCAGAAGCTGTTCTTTCTTCCAGAGGGCAGAGCCAGAAGGAAGGCTGCTGCAGGAAGAAACCCTCATCCTGAGGGAAGGGTGAGTAGTCTAGGGCGGTGGTAGGCAAACTGCGGCTCTAAAGCCACATGCGGCTCTTTGGTCCCTTGAGTGTGGCTCTTCTGCTGTAGGTGCTGACGGCCTATTCCCTCCATTGTTCTCTATGGTGGGAAAAAAGTAACTTTTTTCCCACCATAGAGAACAATGGAGGGGATGGGGCAACCTGTTTGGGGGCCTGTAGAATTGGACCCCCTGGTTCAATGTTCCTGAAACATGGTGGATATCTTGGGGAGAGGCTCCAGAAGCTAGCGTACAATTCTGGAGCCTCTCCCTCAAACCCTCTCCCCTCCAGCCCCCAGAATACACCCTATGTTTTCGCCATTGACTTCAATAGCCCATAGGATATAATGGGGTCGAACTGCGGGAAGCCCCAGCAGCCCTCAGGCCGGAGCACCTGGAGCAGTCTTGGGAGGCGGATTGGCAAAAAACAAAACCAAAAGCGCAGGAACTCGAGAGAACTTCAGGAATGGAGCCGGTTCCTCTTCCACAGCCCAAAATGCGACCCACGAACCCTGAGCTTGCTTTTTCTCATTTGCGAGTCTGGCCTCCGCACTCCTTTAACAAGGCAGCCCTGAAGCTTGGGGCGGCGGGAGTTTCTTTGCACGCAGCTTGTGCAGCTGGCTGAGTGCCTCTTCTGCTTGCCCACCTCTCGCCTCTGCGACTCATCTTCTGCCAGGCATGGAGGAGCCCAGCTCGCCCGGGCTTCTTGCCTCCTGCTGCCTTGGTCCTCTGGTGCACGGGTGAGTCCCCAAAGTTTGACTCTTCCTCTACAAGTCTCTGGCGCTGGAGGTATTCGCCTCCTTCCCTCCTGCCTGCTATGGCTGCATAATTGTGAGAGATTTCTTAACATGGTGTTCCTGCCAGGGAAGCAAGGGACCCTGCCCATGAGTCTCCATTTCATCCTCACAACAACCCTATGGGGTAGGTTAGGTAGAGAAGGGGAGATTTGGCCTCGGGTCACTCAGCCAGCAGAGTGAGAATACAAACCTGGGTCTCCCCACATCAATCTGCAACTCTGACCACTGTGCAGTGCTGCCTCTAGTGATCTGTAATGTTCCAGAGGTGTTGTAATGTAATACTCAGTTTCTCAAACGAGTGTATGCCTGTCTGTTGGTCCACTTAGGAGTCTTGATTCCGGTTGTGTGGTTGGCTAGTTGTGGCAAATGGTAGGAAAGCTCAGTGTTTCTGTATACAGTTGTAGGGGCTTTATTGCAATGTGCTTCCAAAGATTTAGTGTGGATGGATGCCCCTTTAAAACAACCCACCCATATTTACTTGGAGGTGTCCTGTGCGACTCTGCAAGACTACTTGCCCATTGTGGTGTTGCAGTGCTCCCTCCAAGCTGTGGAGCCCTGTGAGCAAAGATTCTACTTCGTGAGCTCCTGGCATGAAAGCTGTGAGCGAGCGATTTGGCTACTACTGCATAAATGAGTTTGCTCTGGAGCCATCCTTCCTGAGCTAAGACAAAAATGTGTCAGCCGGAGGCTAAAAAACTGTGAGCTAGCCCACACTAACTCAGCTTAGAGGGAACTTTGAGTGGCCTCTTTTTGTCGACTCCGCTTTCGGTGTTGCGTGCTTGAAAAAGCTGAGCTGGGTAGGAAGGATGACTGTTGCGGGCCTCTGAAAACTGCCCCCCCCCCCAATTAACTTGTGAAAGCCACTGCCACAAGATGTGGGTGGGACGTTTGGGGGGGGGGAACCCGTAGAGATGAAATATATTGTGAACTTAATCAAGCTTGCATTCAGGGACACTGAACCTCTTAAAAATAAATGCTGTTGAGAGAATGGGGGAGGGCAAACAACTCTTTGAGCTTCCAGAGGCCTCTGGAAGGCTGCAGTTGGGAACAGAATGCTAGCTGCTAGCTAAGAACCTTGAATCTGGTCCAGCGAGGCCCTACATATTGATGCTCTCTAGTGTGTGCCTAAAATTAAAAACAACAACATACAAACCTGACTTACCCAATCTTTCCAAGGAGATGCAAGGCCATTGTTCACATTAGTGTTTGTCAGTCATTGTCATGATTTAATTTTATGGATACTTTGGACATATAGAGAGGATGAACGAAAGGAGACAAAACAAGTATACAAGACGAGTGTGGATGGGAGAGTTGGAAGGGGTCGACCTCAGCGAACGTACCTCAATCAGACTGAGGACATTTTTAGCAAAGGCCAGTTTGGGAGTACCCTAATTAAGTTAATAACAATGTACCTACCTATATAGTTTAAGTTTAAAAAAATGGCTCTCAAAATAAATTTCAATTGTTGTACTGTTGATATTTGGCTCTCTTGACTAATGAGTTTGCCCACCACTGGAGGGCCACTGCAGATAGTGAGCTAGAGACAGTATATATTTAGACGCATTGGGGCATTTGATTCCGTTTCTTTTCGCCCACTTACTGTTATTATTCTGCACCTTGTTTGTTTGACCTCCTATAAAATAAACTATTTTCATTGTTCACTCTGCCTGGTCCTCACGCCTATTATTCGGCCAAAAGGGAGGTCTAAAGGTCATGGGAGGGTGCTCTGGGACTTCTCAAGGGAACCTAAATCCAGAGTGGTGGCAGCGTCAGGTGACACCCCACCTGAGTCGTGACGGCCCTATACGGCCAGGGGCCTGCATATCTGCAAGATCTCCTCTCCCCTTATGAGCCTTATAGGACATTATGATTTGCGAACCAGCATCTCCTGGCCCCAGGAACGTACGTCTTGCCTCAACGAGGGCCAGGGCTTTTTTTGGCTCTGGCCCCTAACTGGTGGAATGAGCTTATAATGATTCCATGGTTTTGTTTTTGTTTTTTTTGGGGGGGTGTCTTTAAATGTTGAGTTTGACTGCAGTAACATAAAGAGAGTGATGGGGGAGATAAGTGTGATTTGATTGGTTGCTGACAGTGTGGGAGGAGGGGTGTCTGAGAGGATTCTGTGTGTCTATGAGAAGATTCTGTGATATGAGAGGGACAAGTATGGAAGAGTTTCGAAGAGAGTCTGTGTCTGAGATGTTTTATGACGGAGTTCTGTGTGTGAAGTTTGCAGAGACAGCATGGTCTGTGTGACTATGGAATTTTGAGTCTAATTCTGGGTGAATAAGACCAACAGTTTAGTCTGTGTGTCTATGTATAAGAGAGAGCGGTTATACTGAGTGTATAAGCCTGTCAGAGTGGAGTTTGGAGGTTGAGAGACTGTTTGTAACACCAAGTTTTGCCAGTTATATTTACAAGTTCCTTTCCTCACCAGTGTCCCCTCTAAGCTGAGTTAGTGTGAGCTAGCTCACAGGTTTTTAGCCTCTAGCTCACACATTTTTGTCTCAGCTCAGGGAGGAGGGCTCCAGAGCAAACTAAGTGATGCAGCAGCCAAATCGCTCACTCACAACTTTAATGCCAGTAGCTCACAAAGTAGAATTTTTGCTCACAAGACTCCACAGCATTGTCAGTAACCGTTCAAAATAACCAGAAACCTATTTTGTTCTTTTTTAAATAAATCACATTTTGTTTAAACTTATCCCAGAAATCAGGACAGTACTTCCTCAGGGCCACATAGTCCTCTGAAATGCCCTGACCCTAGGTCATTCCAGCAGCAGAGAGAGAGATTTGGAATTTTTAATTCCTGGTGACAGCAGAAAACTACCAAGTTTAGGTACACAAAGCGTGTTTAAAGGTAAAGCCGTCTCCCCAATAAGCAAGAACTTTACTGAGCTCTCTTATGAGATCAGGGCCCTGCGGGACCTTTTACAGTTCCACAGGGCTTGCAAGACGGAGCTCTTCCGCCAGGCTTTTAGTTGCGGCAGCGGGCTTCCACACTCTATTGGGCCTCCCCTCCAGTGGATAAGATATGTCATCATTCGGAACACCAACTGTAGTAGACCTCACCTGATGAGGCACTGGTTTGAACTACAGGAATTAGTAGAAGAAGAAGAGATTGGATTTATACCCTGCCCTTCACTACCCAAAGGAGGCTCAGAGCGGCTTACAAACTCCTTTCCCTTCCCCTCCTCACAACAGACACCCTGTGAGGGAGGTGGGGCTGAGAGAGCTCTGACAGAAACGGCTCTTTTTCAAGGACAGCTCTTGTCAGAACTACGGCTTGCCCAAGGTCATCCAGCCAGGTGCAAGTGGAGGAGTGGGAGAACCAAACCTGGTTCTCCCAGTTTAGAGTCCGCGCACTTAACCACGACACCAAACTGGCTCAGTTTGTTATATTTTGTAGTTATATTTTGACTGATGAAAGAACATAAGAGACGCCAATGTTGGATCAGGCCAAAGGCCCATCCAGCCCAACACTCTGTATCGCACAGTGGCCAGAAATACCAGTGCCATCAGGAGGTCCACCAGTGGGGCCAGGACATTAGAAGCCCTCCCACTGTTGACCCCCCCAAGCACCAAGAAGACAGAGCATCACTTGCCCCAGAGCCCCTATCTATACCTTGTGGCTAATAGCTACTGATGGACCTCTGCTCCATATGTTTATCCAATTCCCTTTTGAAGCCGTCCATGCTTGTAGCCGCCACCACTTCCTGTGGCAGTGAATTCCATGTGTTACTCACTCTTTGGGTGAAGAAGGACTTCCTTTTATCCATTCTAACCCGACCGCTCAGCAATTTCAGGGAGTGCCCACAAGGAGTTCTTGTATTGTGAGAAAGGGAGGAAAGTACCACTTTCTCTACCTGCTCTATCCCATGCATAATCTTATAAACCTCGATCATGTCACCCCTCAGTCGTTGTTTCTCCAAGATGTATTTTAATTGTTTTTTATTGTTTGTGTATTATCTGTGATGGCACCCGCCCTGAGCCTGCTATGCGGGGAGAGTGGGATACAGATCTAATAAAATCTCTCCTTATATATAATTGAATAGTGGGTGCCAAAGTTCTAATTCTAAAATGCACTCCCTTAGTGAATGGCTGATGGCACTGCTCCTCAGCATATATCGCCACCAATCAGAAGGCAAAGCCCGGGTCCCACCCACACCACAACTGCTGCGACAACCTGGTCTTTTGCATATGGAAGCTGATTGGACTTCACTCCATTCCACACCTCA